TTCTCCGCTAATTTGATAGTAATTTCATAAATAAGATAAAACTTTCGATAAATATTTCCAAACGCATAATATATTCATTAAAACAAAATCCGCAAAACAGTTGCAAACGTTTTGCCGGAAAAACAGGTCAATGAGAGAAAGGAAAGGGCTTTTGAATAACAAATTAGAAATATTTCTCTCTCTCTCTCTCTCTCTCTCTCTCTATGTCTCTCTCTCTCTCTCTATCTCTCTCTCTCTCTCTCTCTCTCTCTCTCTTCGAGTCAAACAATTTCTGTGAATATTTTTCTTTCATAACGTCTTCGCATCGGTTGAGAAGGAAATACAGTCAGTTGTGACGGATGTATGGATTGGATTCGCTTTATTAAAACCTCTGTTCGCAAGACATCCCAAAATGCATTCCTTCACGGCTTATATGCATTGTCTTTAGAGTGCACTCGACTGAGAGAGCACTGGGAGACTCACTCCATGTGCTGTATATGTATTTCATTGTGTTTTTTAAAAACTTATAACACATTTTCACTCTTAAAGTTGTCTGCCTTTTGTGTGTTGACTCCCAAACATTTTTTAATGAAAACTTACGCTAAGAAAAAATATAAATCTATTCTTTAGCTTCTCATTCATATTCGCTATTATTTCAAAACCCACACAAACTCTCTCTCTTTCTCTCTCTCTCTCTCTCTCTCTTCGAGTCAAACAATTTCTGTGAATATTTTTCTTTAGTGAAGAAAAAAGTGTTCACTTTAACGAGTGTTTTGTCTCTCTCTCTCTCTCTCTCTCTCTCTCTCTCTCTCTGCAAAATTATTCTTAAACTTTTAAAATTCGTGAATAATTTAACCCAAAGAAAAAATCTAAGGAGAGGGAGAAGCTATAGATTGCGGTTCAAACTGTGCACTCATTTTTGCATATAATTATTCAAATTATGTTTGATTCGCAAACAACAAGAATTGTAGTCATATTTGATAGTAATTTGAGGACAAAACTGTTGTCTCAATTGCAGTGACTTTTTTTTGCAGTCGACAAGAAAATCGTTCATAATATGCAAAAAATACAACACATATTAGTGACAAAAAATACACACATTTTGAAACCAAAAATACTGAGTTTCTTAGAAACGCCAAACTATTTTGCATAAGTTTAGGAAATATAAAATCACATTTTTATTTATCACAAAACTCTTATAAATTATGCTCTGTTTTGAAGTGTTTGTGCGAAACGCTATATGTAAGTAAAAAATAAAATACAGCAAAAAAGAGGGTCTAATTATATTTTGAGAGATCATTAAAGAAAATATTTAGCAAATGAAGGAGAATAAGAAAATTAGTGAAGAAAAAAGTGTTCACTTTAACGAGTGTTTTGTCTCTCTCTCTCTCTCTCTCTCTCTCTCTCTCATACACTGACACCACAACTAATAATTTCGGGCAAAATATGTTAACAGCTGTGGCTATGGCTATGAACTCGATATTTCAAACTAAGCATAAAATAGGAAATACAGATAAAAAAGAGAGAATAAGTGGAGAGATGCCATCGATGGCGATGTCAAGTAGTGTTATGAATGGTGTCTTCAATAGTTAGTCTGAACGGGTAATGAGCCAATTCATGCACTGGGAGGGGACAGACTGAGCGAAAATATACTGCCTTTTGTATGCCTTTCGTATATGTTTTCGATACCCGTATTGATTGCGAGAAGCGCTAAGAAAAATGACATTTTATTGCAATCCGTGATATCACTTAAATAATATACTTACTCTACAAATGAACCTCAAAAATGGCTAAACATTATTGAGGAAAAAAAGAAAATTGAGAAATTGATTACAATTTCTGTGTTTGTATGTCGTGTCCTCTACTCTGTGCACATCCATTGCCAACATTAGAAAAACTTATCAATTACTCCAAAGCAAACACTTTATACTATCAAAGTATATAAAAACAATTTCTAGTTTCTCCTTTTATTTTTTCTACTGACAAAATAAATTAGTTTTTCAGCTTTTCTTTTCAAATATTCGTTGGATTCTTGTGTTCACAATATAAGAGTATTGGATTCGCGTCTTAGTGTTTCAAGTCTTGAGAGAGAGAGAGAGAGAGAGAGAGAGAAATATTTCTAATTTGTTATTCAAAAGCCCTTTCCTTTCTCTCATTGACCTGTTTTTCCGGCAAAACGTTTGCAACTGTTTTTAGAGCGAGAGAGAGAGAGAGAGAGCGAGAGAGAGAGAGAGAGAGCACAATATAAAGTAAATCCATTGGTGTATAAGTTTTAAGTTTTTCAACAAAACAATAAAAGCAGATTTACATTGAAGATCGACATCACAGTCAAGACTATAAACACAATCTCCTTAAACGTCAGATTTTTTTCGATATATTTTAGAGTTATTTCTCTTTCTCTTAGTTTCGATTTCTTAACTCTAAAGTTAATGCAATCCTAAAAATTTTGTGTATATTTGTGTGTACAGTACTGTATTGGGAAAGGGAAACATTGGAAAGGCATCACTCTCTTTGCCAAAAACAAAAGCGATACGAGACTCACGACTGACACAAAGTTTTTTATACTCTATTACTGGAGAATAGCAATACATCGTACGTACAGAATATATCTGTCTGTATATGTGTTACACATTCAGAGCTAAAAACATTAATTTCCGCACAAAAAGTCTTGAGCAGAAAAACACAGATAAAAAAGGAAAAACAGAGAGAATATAAATAAAAGCAAAATAAAAAGATTACATTTTGCACACACATACTATAATATAATATTAATACTATTTATCAGATTTAAAACATAAAACAAAATTACTTTAAGAAACTTATGCAGGAATTAGTGAAACAAAAACACAGAATATTCTCTATTTTCATTTTCACTTAGCCTTTAGCTATACCGTGAACTCAACAGAATATTCTGTAGCAAAATAAACTGACAATTCATTAATTAGTTATCTCTATTTAGGTTCACTTTTTTCTAACTGAAAATTTTTGCCATTTTTTCAATTCTATACTAATTACTCATCTCATGAGCCAATAAGCCATTGAGATGTATGGCTCTCATAGTAGAGCCCCTCATGTCTATCGGGTATAATATCTATTACTGGAGAATAGCAATACATCGTACGTACAGAATATATCTGTCTGTATATGTGTTACACATTCAGAGCTAAAAACATTAATTTCCGCACAAAAAGTCTTGAGCAGAAAAACACAGATAAAAAGGAAAAACAGAGAGAATATAAATAAAAGCAAAATAAAAAGATTACATTTTGCACACACATACTATAATAATATAATACTATTTATCAGATTTAAAACATAAAACAAAATTACTTTAAGAAACTTATGCAGGAATTAGTGAAACAAAAACACAGAATATTCTCTATTTTCATTTTCACTTAGCCTTTAGCTATACTCAACTCAACAGAATATTCTGTAGCAAAATAAACTGACAATTCATTAATTAGTTATCTCTATTTAGGTTGACTTTTTTCTAACTGAAAATTTTTGCCATTTTTTCAATTCTATACTAATTACTCATCTCATGAGCCAATAAGCCATTGAGATGTATGGCTCTCATAGTAGAGCCCCTCATGTCTATCGGGTATAATAGGCAATACACTGAGTGCTAGTGTTGTTGTTATACTGGAAAACAAAACAATAATTTAATTTTCTTGATTCTATTGCATCGAAATAATGGACAGAAATAGGATTTTCTCGTATGGCTTGTGTTGATTCCCATTTTTTGCTGATATTATTGGTATTGATTATCGATATTTAACGCCCGATTTGGCGACTGGTCTTTATTTCTGGGCTATAATTCCCATCTCTAACAATAAGCACACAATAAGTTTTATATAAGAATATAAAGAACTTCTGTACTCAACAAAAGGCTTAACAATAATCAGAATGGCTTTGGGCTCCGAAAACTTCTTTCATTAATACTATTTTTATTTTATTTTACGAGAAGAACCCTAAGAAGACATTATATTAAACGTGAAACTTATGTTAGAGAGAGAGAGAGAGAGAGATAGAGAGATAGAGAGACAGACAGACAGAGAGAGAGAGAGAGAGAGAGAGAGAGAGATAGATAGAGAGACAGACAGAGAGAGAGAGAGAGAGAGAGAGAGAGAGAGAAGAAAGTGTAATATAAACTCTAATAACAACAAAAGGTTAGCCTTTTTACAAATTTTATTAAATAAAGTCATGTATTTTTGTTATATTTTGTTAGTGTAAGTGTTTCATTGAATCCACAAAATTGTTTTTCCTTTCGGATTTAACCTCAAAATCGGTTATCAATACAAATGTATTCACTTTATAGTGGCAAGCATTTGGTTCTTATGTTTTTATAACAATAAATTACTTCCCTTTTTGTGATACAACAAAGAAATGTCCTGTTATTTGGATTTTTCAAACACAGAAATCGATTTATTCTTCACATGTTTTTGACTTATTTTTCACATTTTATATACACTTTCATTGATAAACCCCATAATAGTAATACAGCAAAAATGTTTGCCTTAACTCTCACTTAAAACTTTTTTCCTGAACTTTGAGTTGAAATCAATTGCAAAAACGTCTAAAATATATATATATCTCTAAAAATGTGAAACGAAAATAAATAAATAAAATAAAAACCAAATGTTGAGCGTTTGAGCGAAAATTTCTATATCTCTAGTATTTTTTCTTAAGAAAATTACTTAAATAAATGATAGGAATCAATGATAGAGTTTTTTGCTGAACTCATATGAATTAATGGCAGGGAATTGCATACGAAAGCAATTTTGTTGATTTACATAAATGCTAAACGTATTGATATACAGTTATATAATAACACAGTGTATATCATCAAGAAAAACAATGTATGAAACTTGAATACACCATAAAAGTTACGACCGTAAGTGTTGGTCATATTATTAGTTACAATAGTAAATGGGTTTCTTATGTTTATATCATAAATATATTTATTTATTTACGATCAAACACTTTGATTATTGATATGTAATAAGCCGTTCAAGACATACCCTCGTGTTTGTATCCAATCCTGCGTTCAGCGCATTGGATGCCATCCGTGAAGACAACGATCGCAACGATTATCGTTAAAACCAATCTTCCGATGATTGCAATCATTATTATAATTATGTGAACCAAGTCTGCGGGTAAAGAGAGACCAAAATTTCAATAAATACAATCAAACAAAATAAAACTGAATTCAATAACAAAAGTGCATAAAATTTTGCGCATAAATAAATGATAAGTTGAATTTGAGTTGAAAATTCAATTACATTAATGGAATATTTTGCAATATAATAATTTATATAATATGTATAAATGTCTGTCTTTGCTCTCATTATGTAATTCTTTAATATTTTAATCATAATTTTTGTCATTTGTGAGTGAATGTGGAGTTCAGATACCGATTGATTTCTGTGCAGAAAAGTGTACAGAATTTTCCCTTTAATAGTAAACTCATAAAAATAGGAGAAATTAATGGATATATTGTTTGACACAAATGAATAAAAAGTGAAATAAAAGATAACATTTCATTTGTCTAACTATTGGCCACTTCTGTCAGCGATAAATAAATGAGAAATATTTTCTGATAAAAACATAGTTTGATAACAGATTGTTATAATCGTGTCATTGAGAGCACAGGGAGCTAACCATATTAAGCTCGGTGTGTATGCGCCGGGGCTAACTGGCCACCAACGGCGCTACCTATGCCTTAATGTGTCAAAATTGGTTGGCAAACATTAATTAAATATTCATAACAATTGATACAACATATTATTTTTTACTATATATTATAATCTCCTTTTGCCTCATATACTAACGATATTTTTGATGGATATAAACATTTTCATAAATACACTCCATATTACAGTGCATTTAAAATCTGTTATCTATATAAACAAAATCAGTTGATATTATGATTGAATATTCGTTTCAATGATTTATTGCTTAAATTCTATCAAAAAAAGTTTTGAACCAAAATATAGCGCATAAAAAAATATACTAATATAATAAAAGTTTATTTTATGTTTTGAAAGCACACATAATAAAAGTGTAATACAGTTATAGCCTATTGTGCGAGATATCGATCGATAGTAATAGAAATGATGGCAAAAATGCATAACAAATACAATAGATATCTGCGAATAAGTATGAATAGGAAAGCCACACCTGAATCCAAGTCACTACTACCAGACCTACTAGACTGCCGGTGCTAATGGCATAACAAAGAATTCAATATATTATACAACTCTATCGCCGCACTATTTGTGACATTAATATAATAAATATAATATAATTTTTGTTTTGCGAATAATATTTCCGTTTTTGTGTCTGTCATTAATGCCGGCATTCAATGCAAACGGTTGTGAAAAATTCATTTCATATATAAATATCTAAGAGTTTGTCATTAAAACAGTTAATCATTAGATGAGAAAAGATTAGGCCATAAAAATGCTACAGAAATAGATGTGAGAGTAAAATGTTATAAATTATATTTTCAAAAGCATTTCTAGTATTTTTGCTCTAATATACTCTCTCTCTCTCTCTCTCTCTCTCTCTCTCTTGATTTTTATTGAACTATTCATTGCATTTAATTTATATAAAAGCTATTTCTATATATATTTTTTGATACTTTGATGTAATCAATGACAAACAGGAAATATTTGATTGGATAAGACAGATATATTCTGTGCATTAAATTTATCACAAAATAATGTCAAACATTATTTTGCAATATATTTTTGATATAAACTTTTCTGTGATTGAATAGTAAATATGATTTTCGGATATATTTCTTAATATCACTTAAATTTTTAAAACAAAACTAGAAATAAAATACATTTTTCGCATGATATTGGCTATTGAATTGTACAAGACATTTTTATGTCTCAAAATACAATTTATATATTTATTGCAAACTTATGGTATACTTGAGTTCACAATTGATAACATATACTGAAAATAAATCCATGAATGCAATGACATTGGACTCAATTGACTGTATATTGAAAACAAATGGCATAATAAAATAAATATGAAATGCAGTAAAACAATAATTTCTCAAAATTTCCAAATATAACGTTACGTTAGGGGGTATAGTATATCATATGTCAGTTGTAGTCAAACAGTCATAAGTGTGTTTATATTGTATTTATTTTATTGAGAGAACAATAAGTGAGAGTTTGGAGAGAGAGAGAGAGAGAGAGAGAGAGAGAGCATGAAGAGAGTGGTCTGTTATGTCAATAAATATCATCGACACAAAGATAAACACTATAAGAGAGCGAGAATGAGATAACAATAAAATGTCTTAAGTTTTACTATTAGTTTAGTTTTTCAGAGACAAACACTATCTGTCTATGACTTAAATCAATTGTCTTTTTCTTTGTGCTAAATTTCTTGTGTATTATTATGTGGTTTACTGTCTCTGAGCCAATGTTTGCCTGCACTGTGTGTTTGCGGAGTCAAACTGTAAGGCGTTTTTCGTAAGGGGTATAACATTATAAGACAGACAGAGAGAGAGAGAGAGAGAGAGAGAGAGAGTGGCAAAAGACATTAGAGAGTGAAAGCAATTGTGATCTCATCTCCAGAGGATTTATTTCAGTATTAAAGGGATCGCGACATGAAATTTCTTTAACTATATTAATGGACAACAAAATTGTTTGCGAAAATAAAGTGCAATAAAACTAATGATTTGATTCAATTTAAACGCAATGTGTGACACAAATAATTGCTTAATAACTCACAGACACTATTCAAATACAGTGAAAGGGATGCACCGGGGCTTACCTCACGAGTCAGTCAGTTATTCATTCATTTAAACCCGGAGTCAAAAGACCGAAAATAACTTTTGTTTTGCCACAAAATCTCGAGACAAGTATTTACTGATAGTCTTCTTGACATGAAATTGGTCTCCAATTCACAAACAATTAGATGCCTATTATTATAATAAATACACCAAAATTGCAGTATTAGTGTCACACCACTAAAGGCACAGTACTTTATATGGGGCGCAATATTTCATAATTTCATCGACACATCAGTCGTTTTGGTCGCAGAAAACATTGCTTTTTAATACGCGATGCAAACGACTGAACCGAAAAACAGTGACATAACGCATACAAAGAGCTGCAAACTGTGGTGAAAAACTCGCAGACTTTGCATATACTTTGTGTGGAAAAAAGTTGTTAAACACGACTTCTCGCACACAAACACACAATACGATCGCAAAGTATTGGCCGAAAAGCAGAGGCCGTGCCGTACAGTACGAGTGCTGAGGAGGAGAAGCACTGAAACATAAACACAGAAAGACTTGAAACACAGGGCTCTGGCAGTAGTAGTGTGTCGGTCGACAGTCACCTCCACTCTGTTCGCCAGTGCTCTCCCGTCTCAACACTACTCTCTGTTCACTGGAAAACTCGTATTCGAGTGGAGCAGCACTCCATGGCATACATATCGACGATTCCTGTCGTCCCCCTCTATGCCCGTGCCGTACAAAACAGGCATCCCTTACGTGAATGCCTCTCCCCTGCAGTGCATTACATCGTTAGACGACATGCGCTTTCATATATATATTATACCATTCATTGCCTTAACATTGAATTTCTCGCTCCAGAAGATCAACGACTGACAGAATTTTGTTTTTTATTTATTTAACAGAAATATATATAACTTATATATAATCGCACTTATAGTTTGTGTACATTATATATATGTGTTTGAGTCGTATAGTTTTAAGTGCATTAATATATTTGGGTTTATTATTATTATTATTTATGGTTATCTTTTACCTTATTTACTGCGCTAGGAGTTAGTGTACACCGAGCCTACCAGTCCTACCAGTCCCTTCCAATGTCTCCCATACCGACGATCTTATTAAATATTAACACTTTTCTCTCTCACTCTCAATGGGAACTCATATTTTGGAGTCGAGTTCTGCTAAAACTAATGGATGACGAGCTCATGGATGCAAATCATGTCATACCATACCTCACAAACACATATATTTCTACGCTTATATCCATAGCAAAAACTCATGTAAAAAAGCACTTCAAATAAATTAGTATTCAAAACTGAATTTATCTACAAAACAGGGACTCATTTTTTAGTAAATACCATAAATAACAGGAATTGTGTGACAAAAGTGATAATTATTGAGAGAATTATAGCCAAACAATTGCTGTACATATTGGAGGAGAAAACTGAAAAACTGTGAAAATCTGTCAGAATATGTTCGCTAATAGAGTTGAGAACGTATTCATGATTTCGGTCACTATTTTTCAAGTGGTGTGCAGTCGTGTCACTGAGAGCCAGACTGCAAGGGGAGAGGGAAGCCATGCAATGGGAACTACAATATGTTTAGAATAAATATATACACAATCTGTATGTCTATATGTAGTGCACCGGTGAGTTTGGGGTCCTAAATGGCTATAGTGTCGAACATTAGTTCACCCAAAATGCTCGCGAGTCTCGCGAAGGGGTGGCATATATTGCATATAATTTTTTTCTACTGCAATATGATTGCAAACAAATGATGGTTGAGAGAGAGAGAGAGAGAGAGAGAGAGAGAGAGAGCGAGAGAGCGAGAGAGAGAGAGAGAACGGAGAGAGTGTTGGCATCTAAACTAAACTCGAAGACTCTGAAGGCATGCGTAACTCACATCCATCGACAAACACTGGATGGTTGGCCTCTTTGACATTACTCCTCATCACACTCCCAGTGCTCCCACAGCCATACCCTACCATATAATGAGTGCCAAAGCGAGCAATTACTCTAAATCACAATATAGTCCGACCGAAACAGAGAGAGAGAGAGAGAGAGAGAGCACTGGGAGGCAGTGGTGGAGAGTGAAGTGCTGTCTCAATAGTAACACAAAATCGACGGAATATTTATGTTATGAATATTTGGCTGAAACTATGGCTAAACACAAGTTTTTGAAGAATTTCGATCTGAGAATAGACTAAATTAAAAGGAGATAGTATTGCATACATTGGCCACAGATGTGGTTCAGTGCAGAGCACCAGCACTACTGCACTCATAGCCTCGACAGCACTGCACGCCAGGAGACTGTCGTACATCTAATACACGACTAATTTCTTGTCTTATATTTGTTTCTCCACTAAATATATTGCGTTTTCTGTTTGATAAATATGTGAAGATTTGAGTTTACATTTGTTTACGAATCAAATTTCACTTCGACTCTGATTTTGACTTCAGGTCTGCCGGAGAGAGAGAGAGAGCTGGAGAGAGAAACTGTCGTTTTTGAGATGTGATTGAAATGTAGTTCTCGTGCGGAATAAACTCACGTTTAAAAAAGTTTTAAATATATTTTTTATATGTATAAACCGTTTAAGAGTTTTTAAAGAATTTATTTTCTAACAAATATTTAGTTGAACTCATATTTGAAGGCAAGTTAACATAAAAATGACATTTTCTCTCATCAAACGCACTGACAGTTTGCGCGATGAAGTCATACAACGCATACTGAATCAGAAGCAAAAGGCGGACGGCGTTAATGTTTTTGAAGGCTTTCCTCTCTATTATATGTAAGAAACGGCGGTTTTTCGCTGCCGGCGACCAAATTATTATACAATTTCTTTGCCTACACTGCTGTTTGACTTGAAATCATACTTTTTTGTGATGTTTTACTTGAGATCTTATTGCATCCCAGCGCTAAAGAATGCAATTATATGTACAGTAAGTATGAGCTATGAGTGCATCCATTGATGCGAACGTTAATATTCGCGCAAAACGTAAGCAATTCCTTGCGATGTCTTTGGCTTTCGCTGACTATGACTATGAGACTCATAGTATGAGTTAAGTCACGAAAAATAGTTAAATATTAAAAAGTGAGTTATAGTCGTACGTACGGACACACTCTTCACATATTTTATTACACTTTTTATCAAATAAACTACTCTTAGATATGTCTCTCGAGAACTCCAACGGCTCTCTCTCTCTCTCTCTCTCTCTCTCTCTGGTATTCTTAAGATTCAATCAGAAATATTCACTGATTTCTGAGGATAACTCAATCGACTCTAACATGAGAGAGAATTTTTAACTCAATCCCTACTTTAATATGCAATACATTACTGTTGTATTGATTAATAATATAAAACTAAACAAATTGAACGACATATTAGGGCTGAAATATGCAAACTTTAAAATAAAATATAAATACAGAGACTTAGTGAACATAAGCAGTGAAAACATTGGAAATAATAATTGGGGGTCTCATACATGAGAGGGGGTGTTGTGTGAGAGATAGTGAGCGGTAGTCATGTAATGCCTAACATCACAGATGTATTTGATCTACTCTTCAATGCATTAACATTGCATTTCTGGTGGCATTGCATGAGAGATAAGTCGATATAAAATATACGGCAATACACTGTATATACATCTCTACCCGCGTACGAGGCGTACAATTTTGTGGCGGTGCCATCACTGCCAGAGCACTGGTACCTAACCTTTAAAGAGCTGATGCACTACTGAATGTTAGCAATCAATACATTAGAGAAATACGAAACGAGATTAAAGTGTATTTTGAGTGCGAGTTTGTGTATTATGTCTACTGTTTGTGATTGACTAACACAGGGTTGTGTTGGTCACCATTTTTCATTCACCACTACATCCCTACTCCTCACCCGATGCTGATCACACTCCCAGTGCTCCCACAGCCATACCCTACCATATAATGAGTGCCAAAGCGAGCAATTACTCTAAATCACAATATAGTCCGACCGAAACCCCCTCTTATTTTGCTTCTCGTTTTAATGTCTAATAAACAGTTTTCATTGCAAATCCCTATATATTGGATGTCATGTATTAAATGGAAAGCAATGTTTGCATTGCATTTGATTAACAACAGTATTACTGATTTGGAAAAATATAGTCATTTTTTGTGTTTTCAGACAAATATTTCATCCGAAAAATATTATTTACATTTCAGGCATAAAATATACGAACGCATCGACAGTTAGGCTATAATTTTAAGCCTTATTTTGAATATAAATTATATTAATACACGCCAATGACTCATACACTTGAGCACTGGTAGTATACAGAATAAGCATAATATTAGGAATAACTGCTATATTCCATGAGCACTGAAATGGTTTCATTGATAACATAGTCTTATATATCAATAATATCCAGACATTCAACGAAATACTCATTTCGAGAGACAATTTTCAGGTAAATTGTATTTCATTATAACATTTGTGTATATATTTTCTTTTCCACTAATATATCATTTCGTGTATTAATTCTTTCATTTAAAAGGAAAAAACATTTCCTTAGATTAAAAAAGTTTTTTCTAATTTCAACTTTTTTATTCTCCATGTGCTCTCAAAATAGATATCTCTAATTAAAAGTAATTTTGAGGGCAAATATAATTTCGCTCTTAAAGTGAATAATTATATGCAACTCAAGAAAAAGGCAACGTTTCGCCTAAAAAGCTGTTGAGATTTATTTTGAGCAAAAAATCAGATAATTTTTGTTCACTCCGACAAAAAATTGATAAAAATTAGATTCACTCGAATGACTGACTGACAGACTAACTGAGCGCTTCTACATCTTAAATACACAACCATTCGTGTATTCATTGTGTTATGTATGGCGAAAAAAGGTCAGACAAACACCACAAACAGTGTTTAATTGCATGACTTTTCTTAAACTAATTTCGCGCACAAAATGCAATAATAATCATAAAAACAATACAACAGTGTATTAAACAAATACACTATTGAATTATACCGTAAAACTAAAGATCCGTTTTTATTAATATGATTACAGCAAACGAGTTGTTAAGGTTTGCCATCACTGGGGATGATATGGGAAGGGAATGGGAGGGCATCGGGAGAGAGAAGTGTAAAGAAAAAATGGCACAAAACAAGTATAATCTCCCACACGATAAGAAAAAATTTATCGCGCTATTTATTAAACATATTATTTTGCGAGTAATTAATCATTTTATTATTTAAAAATTACGGCCCAAAAGTTTAATCAAAAGTGACGCTTAAGGGAAACATCAAGTCTATCATGTCTTATATTATATTTTTGGCACTTTTTCGTGGGGTTTGGGTGCTCTTTGGAGACCCCCTTTCGCTATTGGATTCGCGTCTTCTCTGAGATACAAATATTTGCAAAAAATTATTCATTCATTCGCAGCGGAAAGAAATATTTCCTTAATTCACACCAGACTTTGACAAATTGAAGCGCAAACCTACACTTTATATGAGTTTATTAGATAATAGATGTGATATAAACTTACAGTCGCTTGAGTTGAACGAACACAACACCATTAGTATGGCGAGAGAGAGAGAGAGAGAGAGAGAGAGCGAGAGAGAGAGAGCGAGAGAGAGTAACAAAAAAAATTAATGTATTCAGTTGTGAGCCCCTAATAAATGTCAGTTCATCCACTTTTTCTTCTAATTGGGTGGTCCTCGCACTCAATGCCTATTGAATACCCGTCTCACACCATAAGCACTCACTTTAATCCTAATGATCAGGTATTAGACGTTTTTAAAATACAGTTCCCCTCTATTTTAGTGTTTTTTCAAGTATTGGACAGTTTAGTTACAGTTGGGATATTATCACATACTTTCTCATCGAGAATTTATTTTGGAGATTAGAAATATGATAGCCTTTCGTCTACTTTTAACGATCTATAGATACAAAGTCTATGTTATAATTTATAAGAGTATTATATAATAATTTTGGGGGACGTATAAAGTAAGTGTCAAATATTAAGTCGATTATCGTTACGTAAATATATACACAGTAAATAATGAATCTTATCTATTAATATAACTATTATTGTCATTACTACTCGTATAACCTATTAATAGAATATCATTTTAAACAATATTATCGTTAATTATGATAAATATTTTTTGCATTATTTGTGTGCATTTAATTTGATTTATTTGATTTAAAAGTTTCGGTTATTTTTGTTTCTTTTAATATTTCATTTCATATTGAATTGTAATCGATGTGTGCTTTCAAGCAATAAAATAAATTATAAAATCGTTTGACAAATATTCCCGAAAGTAAAAGCTCGAGAGATAAATACATGAAAGTATATGAAAAAAGGCAAAAATATAATTTACAATATTTTTTGCCCTCAAATCTAATTATAGAGTCTATAAATTATATGAAAAATTAAAGCATTTCTCGGTTTTTGCAAAATTATGGCTCAAAAGAGAAGAGAAGATAAGAGCGAATGAAATATCTTTTAAAGAAAAATATTCTCTTCTTTTGGAGTTTTTAAATGGCTTTTCAAGTGAAATGAAATGTAATTATAATGAGAATCGAGATTACATTATACAGTATATGAAGCAAATACCAGAACTTATGTTCAGTTTTTTAATATATTTGTCGAGAAATGGAAATAAAAGCGAAAGATATTTGAGTTTAATTTGTGCTCAAAATCTATACCAAAACACATACACTTCACGCCTAATCCTAATTTTCGAGAGACCTTTGAATTGAGATTTCAGTTTGAGTTTCACTCCTCAGCCCTCAGTCTTTGTCATCGTTTTTATGACTTCTACTCTCTTTCCTCAATCCCTTCCCTCTTCAGTGCCACACATATAAGACGCGAGAACTTCATGTGCGGCCAAAAGGCAGCTATTTTTAGACACATGTCATATGTATTAGAGTGACGGACACACAAGTAAACAAAAACTGTAATTCCTTTGAAATGGACATACATTTCATCGTTTTTGAAGCTCAACTTTTTTTCCATTACTCTAACAAAAAACTTACTGTTTATTGATTTTTTTCTGGAGAGAGAAAATGAGAATAAGAATCAGAGAGAGAGAGAGAGAGAGAGAGAGAGAGAGAGAGATTTTGAGCGACAAGTTTTGTTCACAAACATGAGAAATAAGAGCAGATTTTGATGGATAGGCTTAGAAATCCAGATATTTTAATATATTAAATAGAAAATAGCCTTTTTATAGACACAGCAAGTCTTTTAGCAAAAACTTACACACATTCATACAATGAGATCAAAAATCCCATTGAAATGAATTGAATTAATCATTAAAAATTATTTCTCAAATACACGCAATCAGTATATCAAAAATAATATGTCATCCAATGTAATGACTGAATATTTATTTGTAAATGAATTTAAATCGCATCATAAATACAAAAATAAAAATTATAATAAATGTTGTATTGAATTACATTGAAATAAAATTTAGATCTTTATTCGCATCATAAGAAAAATTAACTCAAAACTCGTTTCAAATTGCAATTAATCATCAAATCAATAGTCGACACAAAATCCAACACCACTTTTAGGTTTGCATACCTTTGATATGAAAAATTATTTCTTAAATACTGTTTCTATTAATAAATATTTAGTTAAAATAATTAATACTTTATTCTTGTGGCAGAGGAGTTTCCCATCAATAAAATACTCGGTATAAATGACTTTACGTTTGTGGCCCATACCCCCGGTGCTATCCATACTACTCTCATATATGACACAATCGACTCGACAGGGATTTAGATCTATTTTGTCGCTTAATTCCTATACAAAAATGACCCCCAAATACACATAATCAGAAAATTTGTATTCAAGTCATATGTTTATGAATTAATAGCTACGCTCTGATCGTCTTCACTGAGATGGTCGTAATCATAGGTCGGGTGCATCTCTTTGCACCGTTGAATCCGATGATCATCGGAAATGTAGACCTGGGGCTCTGCAAAATACATACTATTTTGTCACTTTTAACATAACCTTTAATTTCAAATCATATGATATACCATTTAAATTGACATTTAATTTATTTTTGTCCAAGTTGGAAACATCTGTGTCTATGATATCACCATTTATTGGATTAGCCACTGAATACATGACAATCGACAACAAATTTATGATTAAAAAATAATTGTTTATTAAACTTGAAGCCATTGAAGCTTATTTTGTTAAAATAATTTATTAAATAATAGTCGTAAACAAAAAACATAACTCTCTTATATAACATTCAAATTGCATCAAATGAATAAAATATATTTTTTCATGTGAATTGGTATTTATAGAAATCACAATAGCTTATAATACTACTGTAGTATTACAAAATGCTTTGGTGCATCAAAACCTTAGGTACATTACAATGAAGATCACATAAAAATTATGATATCTATTGTATAATATATTAGGTAAGAGTAAAGTTTTACGAAATAGTTGTGTCACCAAACACTGCAATTAATTATTTTGTTTACCCAATTGAACTCTAATTTATTTTACGCGATACTTTGCTTCAGTTTTTAATCACAAGATATATTGACTAAAGACTTGTGTATGTGTTATATAATTAGACCAAAGGATAACTTAAATGGATTTTATCCAAAATTAAACACTTGAGAGCATAAGCTCTTCACTGATAGATATACTGCTCGTTAGTGTTTGTCATTGAGAGGTACACTCTTATGACAAGAATTTGAGATTTTTTTCTAGAAAATTAATTCTTATATTATATTATTTCATATATGAAGTGCTTTCTATCAATTATTATAATATAAAAAATATATTCAATTTGCACTGTAAGGGCAAAAGTGCAGCAAATAATTTCCTAATATATAAATGCAAATATACTTTTTTCAAAATTCATAAAACCATTAATTTTTACCCTTCACTGAATCGCATGAGAGTTCAAAACCAAACAAATGAAATAATTATAGAAATGGCAATAATTGAGTGATGGGTCGGCGCGTGTGTGCGCGGGGTGTAGGGGCTGTCAGTGCATGTCCTGGTGGTGGTGTGCACTCGTGTTCATGTATTTTATGATTTTGTCTCATGTATTGATGTGTTTCAGACATACATTGAGGCACAGCTGCTCTATGGAAAGGCTCTATTTATTGGCACTCAATGTTCAGGGAGAAAGTCTATGGGAGAGAGAGAGGGAGAGAGAGAGAGAGAGAGAGAGAGAGAGAGAGAGAGAGGAGAGAAGAGAGGTGAGAATTTCTGATGAATTCAGTCGCCAATCAGTTATTAGCTGTTGTTGGCGATGGCCGGGCATATGAGGCCCAGGAGAGACTTTTTGGCACGTTTTTGGGACCCATCCATGAATTGGTGGCGTTTATGGCGTGTGTCGCTATCATTATCATACATACTATACATACAACTATTCACTCACTCATCAGATCCAGTCATTGCAAGTCATAGCCCATCACAACACTACTAAATGGTTGTTCGCATCCAGACTCTCACCACTCATACTATCACTGACTGTGAGCTATGGAGGCTATGGAGTGAATGGATGGATGTGTGACCTAATGCTCAATATTTCTTCTCCCGTCTCCTCTTATCTCTCATATTTTGAGCCGAGAATTGAAAATAGCGTTCAGAATAGCATTTGAATTATATATTCATTCAAATCGTATTCTCCTTTCGCTGCTATATCTGACTCCAAAATTGTATTATTATTGTTATTACTATTATTATTGGGAATGAGTTATGACTCTATTAGGAGTTTTATGAGCAAAACTAAGGTCTTATATCTGAAATGTTATGCAATACTCCACAACACGTATAATAGGTTTCTATGGGAGAGAGAGAGAGAGAGAGAGAGAGAGAGAAAGTATACCTTTTGTACGGCAGAGGAGACGCGCTCTACTGAATCCCCATATCTTTGTGTTCAGAGGACTCGGAGTTTATATGAATTTTTATTTAATGTTATATGAGATTCACAATTATTTTCTCCGCTGAATATAAACACAGTGTTACTCCTCTTATTGCACACTAATTATTCTCCCCTTCCCTTCCCTTTCCTCATCCCTCACCTCTTTAACAACACTTTCCAAAAGGAAATCTTTTATTTTTATTTATTATATGAATTACTGCTCACAAACGCATAATTCATATAATGGTTGTGAAAAATAGCTCACATTTGATTGATTCGTTTAAAATATATAATTTGTGTATTTATTCGGCCATACATTCACTCGCACACCATTATATGCTTTTTGCCATACCATCAACTTTTGGCAATATTTCATTGAATAGTCATTTGTTTTACAAAGTTTTCAAAACTTTTATTCAAACAATTTTATTAATGAAAATACATTTGAATTGCTAAACAAAAGAGTTTATAATAATAGTTTTCAAAACAAAACTTTTCATTTGACTGAATGAATGGAGACAAAGGAAAATAAATAAAATTAAAGCAGATTTTTCAAAAATCTTAAGCAATCGATAGAAATAGACTTCGACTGACATCTCAAAGGATTTGTAAAATTCTAAATCAATATAATAGACGAGAAATTGGTTGAAATAAAACTCGATATCTAGTGAACACATGAAGTACTGAAAGGATGGCATTTGAATCTCATAAACAAGTACTGTATGATATGAGAGACACTTGTAGTGGACTTTCTGTGTTGTATTCAAATGCAGTGTCGGTTGCAGTGGAAGGGAAGGGAAGAGCTAAATGTGATTCCTATTAGTTGTGCTTAATTTCAATGTCTGTGTTTGTAAACTGTCTGAACACTATATACCGTATGATTCATCGAAATTTAATGTTATTACAAATTATCGAATTACAGCTCCCTTTCCATCCCTTGCCATCCCTTTCCATCCCTTTCCATCCCATGTCACTGTAATTTGAATATTGCTTGAAATACGAGGACTCCCGATAGGGGTCCCACAAATTGCCAGAACCTATGGTTTCGGTCACAAATACCTCAAACTCTTTACAATCTCAAAGAATAGCAGTTATTGTTTGTATATATTTACAGGAAATGTGAATTTTGATACCAAACATAATATCAAAGTTTAGTATTTATATCAGCGCTATACACATAAATACGGTATATATTTATAATCAATAGATGCATACTTTAAATAATTAAAGCCATCGTAGGGGTAGTCAAAGAGATCTAACAGTATGCGATACACTTGAATATTGTGTACATCTCTTAGGAACGGCTAATCAATTGTTTTTCATGAACTCTCGTATCAAATGTTGAGCTTTTTATATCTTACTTTTCTTATACCGCATGTAATCCCACATTGAGTTTCACAATCGGGCCAACACTCCGATAGCTTATATAAATGCTAATACCAGAGACGACGAGAAGGTGTGTGCGATGTATATTAGGTCTGCAAAGACGCCCAACCGATCAGTCCTCAGAGTATGCGATAACGGAGTGAAGAGAGACACAGAAATTACATTTATTTAAGGCATCCGTTGGTTGAGTGAAACGCAAGACATTTGACTGATTGAAGGACTCGAAGACAATGTGACAAAAGAGTGAGAGATTGAAAACAACGAGTGAATTGTGAATTAATATTAAAAACACTTCAAAATAGTCTAAAAATTCATTTTTGTAAAGAGATAGCGAATCGACAAATTGAAAATTAATCTTAAGTTTAAGTGTTCAACGGAAAGCACATGATAATGAAAACTTTTAACGCAATTATGTATTAAATTTCTTGTGAAAAAATCAATATTAGTCTCAAATGAAAGCGGAATTTATTAATTATTTTTCAGGGAATTTGTGGGAAAAATATTTTTCATTTTTTATAACTATTCTTTACAATAAAAAATTCAATCATTTTTGCGAAATAGTTTTTTTTGTGAAATGAATGCAAAATGTGTTTTGTATGTAAAAAGCTTAGACTTTGTCTCAAATCAATATCATAGACTTGTCTATACTTTTTCCGATTTCAATATATGAATAGAATTCATATTTCATTGAAAAATTTGGTTTCACTTTTTTGTAGGTTTCCCTCTGAATGAAAAAATCCTATAAAAATGAAAAGTCAGACAAAAAACTAGTTTTCAATATATGTCTAACGAATACAATTATTGATATGTAGGAGGGGTTCGCTGGGAATCCCTATACGAATGTAATCATCACTGAATTGAGAAAAAGACTATTTTTTTGTACGTTTATGTCTATTATGTACAGAATATTCAGGAGTTTGGCTCTGAATGTGATTCTAATTTTCTGATTCATTCAAAGCAGAGCACGTGCTCTCTCTCTCTCTCTCTCTCTCCCTCTCTCTCTCTCTCTCCTCTAATAGACATCGCTGTCTGTGCTCTCCATTGAGTCTCCGATTGTGTTATTATTTCCATCCACTCATGTATGATATAGGGGTCGGAATGGGATGTATAGTCAGGGGTTACGATAATCCCGGCATCTTAGCAACAGGAGGGATATGGCGTGGAATATATGGCACAGGGATTGGCATATATATGCAGTATGAGTGCAACAGGCAATTAAACACCGATATTATGAGACATACAGCGAGAGTGAATCGCCGACACAATGGATGAGTTCATTTGGTTATCATCCATAAGCCGTTTTGATTAAAAATTCAAAACATTTTCTAAATTTCATCCTAAAATTACTGTTCATATAATCATTGTTCAAATATTATATTATGAAAATCGATTTGAACAACAATTTTAATGCCTTCACACTTCTGGCGCCAGTAGTTTCTAATTAAAAATAATTTCTTTTTAGTGTATAGCAAACTTATTTAATACAACCAATTATTTATGCATTTTATATTTAGAGCACAAAAATCATGAGAGGTTTAAACCATAATTTGGTTAATACTTTAAAAACTTATTATTTTTATTTTTTTACACAAATGCACCACATTTTTGGTGCCATTAATAATACAGAAAAAACTTGTAATTTAAGCATAAAATCAATGAATGAATTATACTTTTTAAGTGACGCTTAAAATGCTATTAAATTTTTTCCGTGCCTTTCATTAAAACATAGAAATTAATAACTAAAACGAAGAGTAAACCGACACAAACTTCCCGAGTGTTAGTGAACTTCACATTCATTTAATACTGAATGTGTAATAAAAATATATATTTATTTTCATATACTTTTTGAACACAAGCCTTAACTGCGAGCAGTTAATACCGTAATTAATTATACTTTAATCTAATCAATATATAATCTTTACGCGCAAACTTTTCTCAGTACTTAATGTTTAAAATGGTATTAAATATTAATTTTG